AAGGATTCTGTGGCTTCATCTGACATACTTTGGACATGTTGCCAGGAGGGACAGGTCCTTGGAGAGGGACATCATGCTTGGGAGGGTTGAGGGACAGCGCAGGAGGGGAAGACCCTCTATGAGATGGATTGATTCGGTGACTGGGGTAATCGGGCTGGGTGTGTCAGAGGCAGTGCAGTTGGCGCAGAATAGAGCAGGGTTTAGGGCTGTTTTGCATAGGGTCGCTATGAGTCGCAAACGACTCGACGGCACATAACAACAACAACAATGTATATGTATATGTTTATTTGTGTGTATGCATGTATATGTGTATTTATGTGTATGTATGTATATGTTTATGTTTATTTATATGTGTGTATGTGTGTGTGTATATAGATATATAAAAGCTCTGACAGCTTAATGGTAAGGGGGTACACTGCCAACACAAAGGCATATGGTTCAAATTTACCAGGTACTCTATGGGAGAAAGACAAGTAATCTTCTCCCATGTGATATACTGCCTCTGAAAATCCCCTGAGGGTAATATATGAGTTGGTTCCAACTCAAAAATATATTTATGTATGTATAAATGTATATATACACACACACACACATATAACAACAATAACTATATACACACACAGAGAAACATTTAAACACAACTATATATACTCATTGCCATCAAGGTGGAACTGACTCATAGCTGATCCTTCAGCAGGTTTGCAAGGCAGGAAATCACACAGGATCAGATTAGGTGGGTATCCTCCTGCCAGAGAGGTACAGTCTTTGCTTGGGTTAACAGCGTAACTCCCAATGGACAACACGACCAGAGTTGGCTAACTAAGTAGACATGTACATTGATCATGTGCCTTGTAGTGGCCTTGCGGGTAAGAAGTTGTGCTACTAATCCAAAGGCAGGAGGTTCGAATATATCAGTGGCTCTATTGTGGAAGATGGGCACTATCCTCCTGTGGGATTTAAGCCTCTGAAAACCCACTGGAGTGACAGCCATGAGTTGGTTCCGATTCAACAGCAATGAGTCATTGAATTATTTGGTGATAAAGGTTTGTTTGCTCTCAGTCTTTCGCTATTAAGAAGCAATACTGCAATAAGTAAACCTAGTATACCTAGAACTTAAGTTCTGATAATCTACTCAATTTTTGTCCCAGAAAAATGCAAAAGGAAGAATACCATTTTTTAAAAATTTTTTTTGAAGAATACCGTTTTAAAATTTTACTGTTTATTAGCAAAAAACCTGAAAATTACCACTAGTAAAAATATTTACAAAAGGGTATTAAACCTAGAGTATTTTGTAATTTTAAATATAAAACAAATATATTCTCTAATAACACTTTGATAAATATTTTTCAAAGTTCAAATTCTTGGAGCTTCCATTAGTGTTCATGGGACTTTTAAAAGCAGGCTTTATCTATACATGTTAACTTTACTGTTAAAATGAACGGGAAATTTTGAATTAAAAATATCACAATAATATAAAAATCTTTTTAATGGTTGATGTTTGGCCAAATCTGATATTTTCATAGGTAAAGCAAAAATTAATTATGCAATAGTTAAAAAAATGGTTTTGATCTATACTATCAGGGTTATTTTCCTTGGAAAAATGCAATTTCTTTGTTACTACTCAGATTCCCAAGCACCACTTTTTACTACTTTTATTCAGTATTATATAAATCTGAAGTTATATTAAGGCTAAATTTGTCATCTGCACTTACCAAATCTAGTTTAGGATAAACTGGTGATTCAGTTCTTACTATTGGTCTTGAGGCAAGAATATCTATTTTGCCTTCCAGTTTTCCCTCCATAGTTTTAATGGCATTCAAAAGGGTCTTCAAAGAGATTCTAGAGTCTCCAATTTCCTGAGAAGATTTCACTGATGGCAGCGTCGGCGCAAAGCTTACTCGGCGTGTAGCGTTTAAAACAACGTGGGGCAAATCAACCGGAAAAGTTCGTTCTTTCACACTGCTTACATGAGGCTTAGTACTTTCAAGTCTAGAAGACACGGGCCTCTCTGGAGATTTTTTCTTTCTTGGAGGCATCACCAGTTAAAAACAATATAATCAACTGAACTTAAGGATTCCGGTTCAAGGAGTGCCCCCTTTATTAGAAGAAACAATACAGACAATGCTCTGAGTGAATCGCCAATAGAAAATATATGGGAAAGCGTTACTTTCCCTTCAGAATGAAGACATCATACTGTAAAATGTGTCCTGAAGAAGGAGTCCTTAAATTAAACTCCCTGTAGAAGAGTGTGCCTAATGGGGCCTCCTTCACCAACTTTGTGAGCTCATCACTCAGTAGAGTTAGGTGGTTGGAACCCTAAGAGTATTCCACTTGAACACACATTCTAGTTCCTTGGTAACCAGCTGCAGTGAAGTCAGGGCAACCTCAAATATGTCAGAGAGAAATTGTGGTCTTTAAGATTTCCAATGACTGATTTTTCAAATGTAGGCCCTCTTCCAAAGAGCCTAAGCGTAGACTTGAACATCCAACTTTTGTATTAGGAAATAAGTATATCAACCAATTTGGATATACTCAGGTTCCTTGGTTACTAGGGGTATATTTACATAAACAAGTTACACATGCTTATGTTAAAAGTTAAAGACTTAATTTTTTAAAAAAAAATAAAACCCTCAACATACACAGTACAATTGTAATTACACAATCACTTTTGGTTACATATTATTGAATTATTTTCTTCATGAAACGCTTTGTTTTTTAACTTTTCCTGCTTGTTAAAATGCTGGCATGGATTGAATAGTGTCTCCCTTAAAATATGTATGTAATTATAATGTAGAAATGATATAACAATCCTTCATCATGTGCAAACTAAATAGTTAGAAAAGGATTAAGGATAGAAAGTTCTAGGGGAGCTCTGGTGGCCTACGGGCAAGGAGCTGCAACTACAATCCCAGAGGCTCACGGTTTGAATCCACCAGATGCTCTGCCAGGGAAGGAGGGACAATCTCCTCCTGTACCAGTCATATCTGATTTGACGGTACACTCACACGCAAAAATAATAAAATAAAAAAATAAAATTTTTTTTAAAAAAAGGCTAGAAAGTTCTTTACTCTCATCGTAGCCTCGACTTAAGGGCAATTTCACCAAGCTGACCTCTGAAACCTTTTATACTACAGGAGATAAGACAAATATTATGTATGTGACTTACAAAAGAGTATCAGCTTTGAAAGCTACCAAACTGAGCTCTGGAGGCCTAGTGGCAAGAAGCTGTGCTGCAATCCTGAAGGTGCATGGTTCGCATCCACTAGATATTCATTGGAGAAGGAGGGGCAATCTCTTCCTGTGCCAGTCGGATCCAGTTAAACAGTACACAAGGAAAAATTCTAAAAAAACCTACCAAACTACTAACAAATACACATCTTTACTACTAATACCTCTTTCAGGTGAGCTTCTGTCTGCTTCAGGTGTACCTTGTTGGCACTTAGTTCTGAGTTCATCTAGTAATAAAAAAAATTCTTACATATGGCAACAAATTTTTAAATCTCGTTTAAAAAATCCCACTTTCCAGATGAAAGCATTTCTAATGTTCTCAATTATAATTGATGACACTCCCTGAGAAAACTCCTAAGTTATTTTTTAGAGGCATAAAATTGTTTGAGTATATTCGT